CTGTCACAGTAAACTCCTCCAGCTCTGTAACTGTTTGTACCACACCAACCCTTTTGGATTAAACAAATCTGTGACTCAGTGCTCTCTGTGACCCTGGTGTTTGTAATTTCACCTTGTCTCTGTAAATACACTCTTCAACTGACTTTGCAGATTCTTCCTTAAATGTCCACATCGAACTCATCACGGCACTTTATTTGGGACAATCTGAACTGTTTACAACCAAACTACAGACGTCATTTGTACAATAAGTCACTTTAAATGATCACTGTGTGAAAACCTGCACTACTATTGACACTGTTTCCAATTGACACTCGTCACTTTTGTTGCACATAATTATTGTCACTTTATTGTACATATATCCTGCATGTAACATGTTTGCACATTTCCTCCTTTTGCACAATCTGAGTGTCTCTATCCATGCCAAACGTGACATGTAAATTTCTCCTCTGTGAGATAAATAAAGCACATCTTATCTTATCTTTTTTTCATTGGATACGGTTTGTTTTCTGTCCCTAACATTTGGAACTTTTTTTTCTCCCCAATTCACCAACCTATTCACTAAGAAGCACCGACTCCCTCTCCTTTTCTGTTCCAAAAATCCATAAAGAAGTCGGAAGCAGAGCTTTCTCATACAGGGCTCCAACCGACTGAATAACCCACATACATATTCGATCCTTAACCTCCTTTAGCTTATTTAAATCTGAATTATCTAGATTATTGTTATTTTACCCCTCCCTGTTCATGTTACTAGCTGTTTTTATTTTAATTTTATGTATTTATTTTGTAATATCTGTATGTATATTTTAAGTTGTATTATTATACCAGCTGCTGTATCTGACTGTTGTACAGTATACAGAAATGATGTCTGTGTTTTCTGTCATTATCGTAGGAGGTGGAGTGGGATCTGAGAGTGCAAACCTGTCCTGTGTGTGTTAAATGTATAAATGTGAATTGTTTGTATTGTGCTGTGTTATATGTATTGTTTGTTTTATGTTCATGGGACCCTCTCGAAAATGAGATGATGCATTTCGAGGCGTTTTCCCTCAAAAAAAATCAAATCAAGTCGAGATATTCCTTTTACATGTACTGTGAGTGAGCGCGTTAGCATCGTCCATCTGTGCACGGTCTGTGAGTTAAACTAGACTGTCTATGAATGCAAACAGAGCCGGTCTAGACCCAGTCTGAGTCTGGGCCTGGATCAGACTGCTGAGCTGGTCTTGTGTAGCTCCAGGCTGCAGGTTCATGAGCCCGGGTTTAGTCCTTCCTGGAAAGACAGTTTAGGAGCAGTTTACAAGGCGTCCTAATCACTCCGTCCTTACCTGGCACCTTTAAAACCAGCTCAACATCAAATTCCACACACATTATTCCAACCTGTTTAGTCTCAATCGCTTCAAACACAGTATTCCACGAGTAAAAGATAAGATAAGATGTACTTTATTAATCTCACACAGTAGAAATGTACATGTCACGTTTGGCACGGATAGAAACACTCAAGATTGTGCAGAAAGTAAGAAATGTGCAAACAGGACATACAGTATTATGTACAAAAAGTGGCAATGAAGGCCCTGCGGTAGCGCTCCTTCTTACACTGAGGGTGTCTCAGTCTTCCACTGAAGGAGCTCCTCAGCTCCTCTACAGTCCTGTGCAGTGGGAGGTGTTGTCCATGATGGAGGTGACTTTGACTAGCACCCACCTGTCCCTCACCTCCTCCACAGAGTCCAGGGGCCTCCTGTCCCTCTCCTCCTCCACAGAGTCCAGGGGCCTCCTGTCCCTCACCTCCTCCACAGAGACCAGGGAGCAGCCCAGAGTGGAGCTGGCCCTCCTGACCAGCTTGTTCAGTCTGCTCCTGTCCCGCTCTGTGCTGCCCGGGGCCCAGCATACAGCAGTGTAGTATATGGCAGAGGCTACCACAGAGTCATAAAAGGTCCTGAGCAGAGGCCTGCTCACTCTGAAGCAGAGCGTTAGTGTTATGGACCAGTCCAGTTTATTGTTGATGTGAACACTCAGGGTAGAGCACTTTTTCCCCTTCTCAAAAAGTGCATATTTTGTTTGTTTCAGTCTCCTAAGTGTGACAGTGTGACCTGACAACCAGATTATTATCTTACGTTCACTTACTGTACCGTTGGGTATAATGGCTGTTGGATGATGCCCTCGTGAGTCGTGGGCACATCTGATCGCCATTATTATGATTTGTTTGGAAATGATGTCATCTTTTACATATTGCTAACTGCTGCTGACTGTAACTATATTGCCCCTTATTGAACTGTGTGGTAATATGTATCTTGGTCAACTTGCCCTTTCATTGAACTTTATTTTTGATATGTATTTTAGTAAATTGCATTTTTATTTTATTGTTTTTTTTAGTAACCTGCACTCTTAATTTGAACTGTGTATTATTATGCAAGTGATGTGATTGTAAAGGAGCAGGTGCTAAATCTGGTGCAGCATCTTTTAATGCACTTTGTCCTTAATAAATCAAACTTCAAACAGGCTGGGTCCGAGCACTTTTGCGTTCAATACATTTTCTATTTTTGAAGGGAAATTGAAAATCAAAAAAGGGCTATTTAAGTAAGTAAGTAAGTAATGTTTATTTATATAGCGCATTTTACAGACCAAGGTCACCCAAAGCACTTTACAATGTTCAGAGTCAGATATTGTTCCAATCATTCCACACACGGTGATGACGGAAGTGAGTCCAGAACACACTGGACCATCATCCATTCACTCTCTCATTGACATTCAGACCTATTGTTTTTATTTTTACCTAATATTTTACCTATACCTATTATTTAAAGGTTAATTATTGCATTTTCTAGTTCCCAAATCTGATTATTAAAATATACATGTCTTATAAGCAATGAAAAAAATTGCTGTGTGCCTAAAAGTGCAAAATAGCCTTTTTTTCCATTTTCCATTTCCCTTTAAAAATAGAAAAAATAGAAAATGTATGGAACACAAAAGTTCACGGACCAGGCTGCCTTCATCTGATTTTTGGTGTCAGAAAAACCCCTGTGAGTCACTCTTTGACTCTTTGGGCTAAGAGCTGATTGGCCGAGTGAGGGTGGTCCACTCTTTGACACTTTTCTGTCTTTAAATAGCTGATCTAAAGCCGTAAAAACCAGTCCCACAGTGGGTACATCTCAACACCGGGGGACGGATGAAGATTCTCTCACGTGTAATGGTATAGCACAGTTCGCACACAGCAGTAGATTAAAAAGAAGCAGTAAATGTTGGTTGTTCGTTTTAAATACCTCATTCTTTCTTTTATTAACTTGCCTTTACTTAAATTGTTCTATTGCTGTCTGAATACATTCTTAAAAAGAAACTGTTTTGAGAGAGAGGAACAATGGATTTCATGACATACTGTGTCTGTGTGGTTTGGAAACATCACAGATAAAGAAAAGAGAGCTTTAAACAAGGTGCTCCGCTCTGCAAAGAGGACCGTGGGCTGTGAGCTTCCTGTTCTGGAGGTTCTTTATAAATCCAGACTTTTAAACAAAGCTCTTAGGATTGTTAATGACTCTTCTGGCCACCCTGGGAAAGCCATGTTCCAGCTTCTTCCCTCTGGCAGAAGATATCGCTCTCTGAGATGCAGGACATCTGGTCCTGCATAACAGCTTCTTCGCACAAGCTGTTATCAGTGTGAACAGAGAACTTTAATGTTCTTGCACTTGTTTTGAAACTGTTTTAGTCGAATCGTTTTTCTCAGTGACAATTGTTTACTGTTTTATTGGTTTTATTTCCGTACTTTTAGTGTTGTGTTATGTCTGTATTTGTCGGTGCACACTGGTGACGTTTGCTAATGTATTCCAATGTGGGTTTTTTTACTGCAAATGGCAAATAATCTTAATCTGAATCTGTAATGCATTTGTTGTGGTTTGAACATTCGGTACCTCAGCAGACAAGTTGAAATCAAGGATATTAAAAGTCTCCACAAAGGATTCTCAATAGTGTCTCTATCGTCTCGCATTTGACCTGTATTTCTTGGAGTTTCTGTCTCCGCCGTTGGTCCTTGTGACTTTTTGGAAAAACAAGACGAGAGATTTATGGGACAAAGTTGAGACATCCATGTCTCCTGAGAAACAAATGAGAAGCATTTGAGCAGATTTTTTTTTCCTCTGGGTCTGATTTTTTGGTCCCAGTACGAAGCATTCTAGCCAAAAACGCAACGGGTTTTGTGATCTTCACATCTGGTCACTGGAACGCAGCCAAGATTGTGCAAAAACGACTGTCGGGAATGAGTGTGTCTCCTTTATTGTCGTTGAACACTTTGTTTTCCACATGTCCTGTAAGAGTTGCTTAATTGCAGGAAATTCCTCTGAAGTAAAAGTGAAGAGTGCAGTCAGCTGAGGGTGGCTCAGTCTGATTGCAACACGGGAAAAAGCACAGATAAAAAGGAGGAGGAACCAGGAGAAAGGACTATTTAAACTGGGACAAGTCTCGTCTGCAGCATTCACTCCAGGATCAGACTCCAGGATCAGACTCCAGGATCAGACTCCAGGATCGGACTCCAGGATCAGACTCCAGGATCAGACTCCAGGATCGGACTCCAGGATCAGACTCCAGGATCAGACTCCAGGATCAGACTCCAGGACCAGACTCCAGGATCAGACTCCAGGATCAGACTCCAGGACCAGACTCCAGGACCAGACTCCAGGATCAGACTCCAGGATCAGACTCCAGGATCAGACTCCAGGATCGGACTCCAGGATCAGACTCCAGGATCAGACTCCAGGATCGGACTCCAGGATCAGACTCCAGGATCAGACTCCAGGATCAGACTCCAGGACCAGACTCCAGGATCAGACTCCAGGATCAGACTCCAGGACCAGACTCCAGGACCAGACTCCAGGATCAGACTCCAGGATCAGACTACAGGATCAGACTCCAGGATCAGACTCCAGGACCAGACTCCAGGACCAGACTCCAGGATCAGACTCCAGGGTCCAGCTCCAGTCTCCAGACTCAAAGCTCACGGCGAGAAACTAAACGACTCCAGAATGGCCACCATCAGTGAGTTCCATACTAACATTTTAGATTTAATCACAAAATTCTTCCACTGCAATATACAGCCTTTTATTGTATATTGGTCGACTGCGGCTGGTGCTGTGGCGACCGAAAGACATGTGCAACACATTTATTACTATTTAGAGGGACAGTGCATATTAATGAAAATGTCTGTAAATATGCCAGAATAACCCAAGCGGCTATTTTTCATCTGTACTTCTGTTTCTCCTGAAAGATAAAAACATGTTACGCAGACAGTTAAAATGATGTGAGCTGTTTACAATATTTCCAAGGACAAGGCAAGAAAACATTCAGTCACACATCCTAGGTTAAAAAAGTCTCAATCTTTTTCGTATTCGTTAATCCGCCTCAATGGAAGTTTTCCCTCAACGCTTTTTTGCAGAACCACATTGTTTCAGTTTTTATATTGTTTTATTATTGTTGTTCAGACTTAGCTGTTAGCGTGTTATGCAGTCTCTGTCCACATGTTGGCGTAGTGGAGCAAAGGAAGCACCATAAATCTTTGAACCATGTGTGCAGCAGTCGGTCACTGAAGTGTAACCTGCAGAATGTTATATGTGACATCATTCCGACGTAAACGTTATATTTATATCTAGATCTTCCTGCGTATTCTCTCTGACCGGGGACTGGACCTGTTCTGCTGTCAGGTCCAGTCCATCATAGATATAAATATAATGTTGACTGTAGAATGATGTCACATATACAACGTTATGCAGTGACCTACTACGCCATCATGTGGACAGAAACTGCCTAGATAGATAGATACTTCATTGATCACCCGTTGCTGAAATTCAGGTGTCCAGGAGCAACAGAAACATGTCCATCCACAAAAACAAAACAAACAAACAGATAATTCTAAAAATATCTAACACTAGTATTGAAATGAAACAGCAGCAGAGGTGGTGTAGCCGCGTGGTTCGGCTCTAGTCCAAAGTAAAATGCTAAATGCTTTGTTAGAACCTCCATATAACATGCTAAGAGCTAAGTCTGAATATCAAAAATAAAGCAATGTAGCAACTGAAGCAATGTGGTTCTACAAAAAAGTGTTTAATTGAGGAAAGAACTTGATACCAAAATGATTGAGACTTTGTAGTCTCTCGAACAAGAGTCCAACATTTACCAACTCTAACCCTGTCTTACACATGGTACACGCTAGCCCCTCTCTGGTCCTCCTGCAGGGGCTGGTCCTCTCTGGTCCTCCTGCAGGGGCTGGTCCTCTCTGGTCCTCCTGCAGGTGCTGGTCCTCTCTGGTCCTCCTACAGGGGCTGGTCCTCTCTGGTCCTCCTACAGGGGCTGGTCCTCTCTGGTCCTCCTACAGGGGCTGGTCCTCTCGGTCCTCCTGCAGGGGCTGGTCCTCTCTGGTCCTGCTAAATAAATGAACTGATACATGTTTGGGTCGTTGCCACCTCTTGCTTTGAAACTAAAATCGATGTTTCCTTCCTGTTTCCCGCAGGACTGGGAGCAGCCTGCGTCCTGTCCCTGTGCTTGTCCCTGTGCTGGGCCAACCTGTCCCCTAGTGGTCTGAACAAGCTCTACAACACCCGGGTGCAGACGGCGGAGCACGTGACCCGCCTCAAACAGGGCATGCCCAGCTGGGTCCCCAAGACCTACTTCACCTCCCACAGCGGGGTCCGGTCAGTGTCTGCAGCTCCTCCTCCAGTCTGTCTCTGTTTTAGCAGAAATACCAACTTAATTCTATTCGTTATACAACCTGCATTGTGGGTGGCGCCTCCTGCAGGGGAAGCCAGATCCTATTAGACCCTTTTGAAGCAAAGCAGGGCATGGCCTGGTTAGTACTGTGATGGGAGTCCTCTGGGAACTCCAGATTCCTTTACAGAACTCCAGAACTTTACAGCCAATATAAGTGTCTTATATTGGCTGTAAAGTGCCAATATAAGGCACTTCACCCACATTATAATGAGTCTGGTGTGTGTGATGGTAAAGCTGATCCTTCTTCTTGACAAAAAGCCTTCAGTTCCAGTAAATTCCTGGATTGTCGTGCATGATTTGCACATTTGACATCTCCCCATGAGAGCGGCTTAATTAAGTTATAATTTGACCAAAACAATTTTATCTCTGGCTGTTTGTGTAAAATGTATCTGTGTCTGTGTCTCTCTCTGATTGACCCTCTGTGTCTCTCTCTGTGCTCAGGGTGACTCTGTGTCTCTCTGTGTTACTCTGTGTCTCTCTCTGTGGTCAGGGTGACTCTGTGTCTCTCTGTGGTCAGGGTGTCTCTGTCTCTCTCTGATTGACCCTCTGTGCTCAGGGTGTCTCTGTGTCTCTCTGTGGTCAGGGTGTCTCTGTCTCTCTCTGATTGACCCTCTGTGCTCAGGGTGTCTCTGTGTCTCTCTGTGGTCAGGGTGTCTCTGTCTCTCTCTGATTGACTCTCTGTGGTCAGGGTGTCTCTGTGTCTCTCTGTGGTCAGGGTGTCTCTGTGTTACTCTGTGTCTCTCTCTGTGCTCTGGGTAACTCTCTGTCTCTCTGTGGTCAGGGTGTCTCTGTGTCTCTCTGATTGACCCGCTGTGTCTCTCTCTGTGGTCAGGGTGACTCTGTGTCTCTCTGATTGACCCGCTGTGTCTCTCTCTGTGGTCAGGGTGACTCTGTGTCTCTCTGATTGACCCTCTGTGTCTCTCTCTGTGGTCAGGGTGACTCTGGACAATGGGAAGCAGTACCTGATCCACAAAGGCCCAGGGTTCGGTCGAGCTTCAGACACGGTGGTGACAGACGCCGCTCACATGTCCAACAGGTGGCAGGTCAGTGGAGGGCACGGAACACCCACTCACATTTTATTTACATGGTACATTCTATAACAAGGCCGCTTCCATTTGATATTATCAGTATAGTTCATCTTAAACAGCTAAGAATAGGTTCGACTGAAATATAATGAAGTACCTTGAATCATGTCAAACTGGCTGAATAGGTCAAAAGTACAGTTGAGAACATTTTCTTTGTCTTATATGTACAGACGGTACATCCTGGGTCTACAGGAGGGGAGCAGATCCCTCTCTCAATGTGGGCCTCCCTGTGGTTTCTCTCTCACTGGGTTTTTATTTTTTTATTTCTTAGGACAGTAATAAACAAGGACATTCAAGGACATTTGTTTAACATTTATTGGTTGTCACACTCTGTATGTGTTTGTTCCACCATGTTGTAAAGTCCTTCGAGACGACTGCTGTTGTGAATTAGGGCTCTACAAAAATACATTTAATTGTAATTGAATTGAATTGTTATGTCAAAAATGTCAAAAAAGCATACATTAATTAAATGCTTTAATACCCACGTTAACCCAAACCCATTTTAGCGGTATGTGAATATGTATTATGACTGACGGGCTGACGAAGGCCAGGACGCGGCCAGTAGTGGACTATGTGTCGGAATAGGGTGTCGGTATCGGGTGTCTCTACCATGTGTCGCTACCATGTGTCGCTACCATGTGTCGCTACCATGTGTCGCTAACATGTGTGTGTGTTCAGGTGAAGAAGAGCCAGAACATGGGAGGCTCTAGGACCGTGGGAGATATGGTGAAAGCCGGGGGCTCCAGATACAGCCTCATTAAGGGGAAGCACTGCCACAAGGCCGCCAAGAACATGATGAGACTGGGGAGGAGGAGGAACTAGACCAGCACGAGACCATGATGAGACTTTCCATCTGAGCTGCAGCACTTTCATTTCACGTTTTAAATGTTGCATGTTTTAATAATCTTAACACAATTGTTTTTAAGGAGTTTTTCTTTCCATCCAAATACATTTCATTGCATTGTTGACAGTGTGAAGTTGTTGTATAATAAAGCTTGAAGATTTGCGATACTGCAAGTATTCCGTTTCAATTCTGTGATTAATTAGGATTCGTGTCTCTCAGATTATTCAAAGACTTTACAAACATGGAGGTGAATAAGACTCAACTCAAACGTCACATTTATTTTGGTCTGCTCCTGAACTGAAGTGAACTGAAGTGAACTGAAGTGCAATAACAGATTGTGTTGGGATCCAGCCACGTGGGTAATTTTCATCTGTAGTCCCAACCAGAACCTGCTGAATGAATGCCGCAACAAGCGCCACCTTGTGGATGTTGTATGCACATGTGTATGACCGGAGTAAACTCAGAGAAAACACAAGTTTGTATAACATGACATTTGTTTACATCTATTGTTTATTGTAATAATAATGATAATAATGCATCAGTTTTATATAGCGCTTTTCTGGACACTCAAAGACGCTTCACATGTGTCATTATTCATTCACGGTGGTGATAAACCACTACTGTAGCCACAGCTGCCCTGGGGCACACTGACAGAAGCGAGGCAACCAGTATGCGCCATCGGCCCCTCCGACCACCAGCAACCATTCACACACACACCAGACTCATTCTAGGCAATGGGGGTGAAGTGTCTTGCCTAAGGACACAACGGCAGTTTGGCACTTTACAGCCGCAGCCGCCCCACTGTGGCTGGTGTTCCCAGAGGTTAAGTGTCTTGCCAAGGACACAACGACAGTAGTCAGTGGGAGTCGATGGTGAAAGTCCCGAGCGGGGTTTGAACCCATGACCTTCTGGCTCAAAGGCCAACGCTCTACCAACTGAGCTACTGCCGCCCATTGCCGCCCATTGTATCATATAAGCTTACACCTACAAACTTTACAATGTGTATGACTTGAAGTTTTGTAAAGAGGGTACAAACAGGGATCAAACAGATCAGAATTGTCCCAATTTAAGATTCAAAGAGAAGTACATTACATACATTAGGCTTCTTTATGACATTTCTGATAGACACAGACAGAGCCCTGGATGATGCTTCTGGGCTCGTGGGGGTCCGAAAGGTAGTGGTCCAGGGGCCGGACCTCCAGACACTTCCAGAGCCCCTCCTGCTCCATGCTGTTCAGCTCCCACTGCAGATCCTGGGAGTAGGAGAGGTGTGTGGGCCTCTGGTAGTTCCCTCGGGTCATCACCACCAGCCCTCCTGCAGCACACAGGGCAGACTGACTGTACTTCTTATCCTTTGTCTTGTGTGACTTGATCAAATACAAATATAAAACCATCTAAAAGAGAGATCCAGGAGGCTGGAGATACAATACAATACAATTCATTCTTGTATAGCCCTAAGAAAATGTATCTGTCCACACGGAACTCAAGACCGGTGGAATTCACATCAAATAATAAAAATAATAATACATTTACATCATCATTACCTTCCATTCCTTTTTGGGGGAGAATTGTCCTGGAATATGAGATACCGTAATTTCTGGACTATTAGCCGCACCAGCAACTTTAAAAAAAAGAAAGTAGATTTTGTCCACACTTGACCACACTCCAAAAATTGCCGCAGGTTTTCATCTTTAACGTAGCAGAGACGACTGTTTTAACCGTTAGCTTCCATCACTCATTCTCCTTCATCCCTTGTGACAATAAACCAGTATCCTGTAGCTAATGAAACTAATAATTCAGAATAATAAGTCCAACTCTACCACAATAAAAATAGACATATTTGTCCCATCCTAAAAGTCGCAGGGATGAAAGAAGTAGAAAACAGTTGCGGTTAACGATACGACACAATTTGAAAAATTCTAACTCCAGAAAAAATGAAAAAATAGGAATAAAGCACAATGTTGGAGGAACTGCAGAGAAGAATAAGCTTCTCAGACTCTTAAGGTGTAAAATAAAACAGTCCCTTTGGAAAGAGGGGAGAACACTGTCGGAAATCACCTTTATGATAAAAGAAATAATCTAGGCCGAAACTTTTACACAAGGTAAAAGTTCAATGAATTTAAGTTAATAGATTTTGGGTCAAAATTATTATATTCAATAAATGGAATAGATTATGATATATATATAGATATAAATATGAAAAACCTTTAGCTCTACTGGAAAGTTGTATCTATTTATTTTATGGATTATTAAGTGTAAGGTACAAGTGACAGTTTGGTCCAGATTGTTCTGGCTCTTTACCGTCCAGAGAGAGCGTGAGTCAGTCAGAGCAGCGAGGGGGGGCTTCTACTACGTCCTCCACAAATAGATCTTCCAGCACGTTCCACAGGCCTGAGGAAGAGGAGTGCAGGGTTCAGGTGGTGTCCGTGTCTCTGTATAAAAGCTCCCACTCTGCAGTAGACTCTCCACTAAACTCTAAACAAGGAACAGCTTCCAAACTCTCTCTGCCCTCAGACCTCGGAGGTTCAGATCTCAGCGATGGCCGAGAGGACGGTGCCCTTCTCCCTGGAGCGCTCTCGCAGCTGGGACCCCTTCGCTGATCGCCACAGCCGCATTTTTGACCAGTGTTTTGGGATGCCTGCATTGACAGAAGAGGCTCTCCTCACCACTCACTGGCCCGGATACTTCAGGCCCTCAGTCCTGGCTCCAGACCTGAGCCCCCTGATGTCCCTGATGCACCCAGGACCTGCCCTGGCCCGACAGTTGAGCAGTGGAACGTCCCAGATCCAGCAGACCAAGGACAGCTGGAAGGTGTCTCTGGATGTCCAGCACTTCTCCCCCGAGGAGCTGGTGGTCAAGACCAAGGACGGTGTATTAGAGATCAGTGGGACACATGAGGAGAGGGAGGACCAGCACGGCTTTGTGTCCAGGAAATTCACCCGGAAATACACTCTTCCATCATCTGTCGACGCAGAGAAGGTCACCTCAGCCCTGTCCCCAGAGGGAGTGCTCACTGTCCAGGCCCCGCTGGTCGCACCTGCCCTGGAGGCTTCTAAGACCACCACTGCAGTCACAGATGACAACAAAGCGGCAAAGAAGAAGTAGAGACTTTATTTTTCCCTGAACGAGTCCAGCAGCAGAGACACACACACACACACACACACACCCACACACACACACACACACACACACACACACACACACACACACACACACACACACACACACACACACACACACACACACACACTCACACACACAAACACAAACACATACACACAACGTCAAATTTACTTTGCATGAAGAGACACTGTGTGGAATGCAGGAGATATAATGTAATTATATAATGATTAAATTGTTGTTTCAAGTGGAGAGCCATTATTTTAATAAATAAATAAATAAAGCATCCATCCATCTTCTTCTTCCACTAATCCATGTCTGGGTCGGTTCTCACAGCACCAGCCCCTCACTGACCCTCCTGCAGGTGGTGAGTCCACAGGAGGGCGGCTGCTCTGTCACTGATAGCACAGCCTTGATCTTTCAGCGGGAGTAAAATAAAGTATGTTTTAAAAATATAAATATAATGAAAAAATATTAAAAAGTCAAGAAGATCACTATCTCTTTGGTATTTGGAGAATTACAGCATTAAAAACGGTTATTAAACAGAAAAGAAAGAGAGACCAGAGAGACAGAGAGAGAGAGAGACCAGAGAGAGACCAGAAAGAGAGAGGGACCAGAGAGAGACCAGTGAGAAAGACCATAGAGAGAGAGACCAGTGGGAGAGACCAGTGAGAGTCCAGAAAGAGAGACCAGTGAGAAAGACCATAGAGAGAGACCAGTGATAGTCCAGAAAGAGAGACCAGTGAGAAAGACCATAGAGAGAGACCAGTGATAGTCCAGAAAGAGAGACCAGTGAGAAAGACCATAGAGAGAGACCAGTGATAGTCCAGAGAGAGAAGTGCAGCAGGCTCTTCGCCAACGCCACCTATGATATAAAACATATTCTGACTTCCCACAACACTCACACATATGAATGATGAGAGTTAGTACTAAGTAGAAGTTTTATGGTAGTACCAGGTGTGGCAGCGGCGCACAGTTCTCGGACCACCTTCACAGGCACAAACCCCGGGTACAGCGCTCCCACGATGGTCACCACATCAAACTGCTCTGGAACAAGTTACCGTCAAGAGCCTCATTCACACTCAGCAACACGGGCTGGTGGGTCCAAACCACTGGCTATTTAACCCCGCCTTGGAAGGTAGTCTTTTTATAAATTATATATCACATAAGAATTCAAAGTTTTTAAAGAATTTCACAAACATGGGCTCATAAAAGGACAAGGTTTCTCTGATTTCCCCTACCCTCAAAAATATATACATTATTTTTACATTACTACTGTATGTATGTAATGTAGTCCTATCTGGGAATAAATAGGGTCTCTGCTTCAGTCTCTGCTTCAGTCTCTGCTTCAGTCTCTGCTTCAGTCTCTGCTTCAGTCTCTGCTTCAGTCTCTGCTTCAGTCTCTGCTTCAGTTTCTGCTTCAGTCTCTGCTTCAGTCTCTGCTTCAGTCTCTGCTTCAGTCTCTGCTTCAGTCTCTGCTTCAGTCTCTGCTTTAGTGTCTGCTTCATGGTGCTTTCAGACCGCCAACGATAAAACGCTGAAGCCCCAAGCACCAGACGCGCATTCTCTAGTTTTCAGACGCAGGGGTCTTCACACCGAGATGTCCTGACGCGCACCGAAAGTGCCGGAAGTAGCCGGCCGGATCTGATGCTAACAGAGTTTAGCTAGCGGCTTCTTGTGTACAGATCCTCTCCAACATTCAGCTTTGCAGCGTGTCTTTGCTCACAGACCTTCCATGGGCTTTATATAACAGTAGTATGTGTTCACGGAGGTGCGCCATACGGTTTTTCATATTATTAAACGGTATTTCCGCATCGGCGAACACACTCAAAGCTGTTGCATAAGCACAGAGTCCCCCATTGTCAACCCTGGTTTGAGTTCTGGTGAAGCCTGGTGTGGGTCCTGTTTTGGCTGTTTACAGTCTGTTCAGTCTGCTCGCTCAGTCCGCTAATGTCCCGTGACCCCGTATTTGTCATTTCTTCTCAGGACATGGCCACTTTTACTCTGTATAGGTGTGACTGTTATGGTATAGTTTGTTTTTGTAGTTATAATTGCACTTGTTTACATACTATCATGTGTCAGATCTAACTCCAGGCTGTGTGTGTGTGTGGTTATCTGTATATGTGTGTGTTTATGGGTGGGGACTAGAGCTGAAACAACTAATCGATTTAAATCGATTAAAATCGATTATTAAAATAGTTGGTAACTAATTTAGTCATCGATTAGTTGCTAGATAACTTTTATTTTGCCGTAAGCGGCTCATTTTGTGCATATTTTAACTCTGCGGTGACCAAATGGTGGCAGTAATGAGCCACCGGAGGTTTTACAGCAGGAGAAGTAGCGAATAGCCAATAGCTGGCCTCCTTTTATGTCACATGCTTCGCGCACAGCTTCTCTCATGGATGTATTATATTAACTGGATAGGGTATTACTAGCTTGTAGCTGAATAACTCATGTGCTCAGGGGATTCTCGCGGTACTGCAGACTGAACCAGACTAAATTCACGTGGGCCACCCAGAAATTTTCCCCATAGAACTCAATGCATATTAAAACAGCTCGACCTCAGCTGACAGAGAACCCACAGCTTTCATAAAGATCGGATTTTGTGGGGATTTTAGTGTCCCTTGTCATCCTGAACTTTTTTTCTTCTTAAATCCTTTGGTTTTGTTTAAATCCACACTTTAGTGCCACAAACTCTGCTCCTCTGGCTCTCGCTCTAACTCCCGCTCTGAGGAACTGCTCTGATTGGTCAGAGCGCGGCCGAGCCCCTCTGTGCACGTGCGTGAGACCCGGTGTGAGACCCACACACGCGTGTTTGGCGCAACGCATTATGGGAGATCATCCACTGCGCAGAACCGGGAGGACCAGACTATGCCCAAATACAGGCGAGTTTCCCATAGATCTTTGCGAGTTTCAGGCAACTTCCGCTAATCTTTCAGCCCCCATGCCGTCACAAAGCGCCACTGAGCACAACCATTCATTTGAATAGGGCGCCATCTTGAATCGCCGGGGCTTGGCTTCTCTTCAGCATACAGCAAGATGGCGGAGGCAAGCGGCAGTGGAGTAAGCTCGAGAAAGAAAAGGAAAAAAGCAGAAGACAAACCTAATCGAACGAAGTCATCCAAAGTGTGGGAGCACTTTACTTTGAACCTTCAAAAAAGAAGAGTAACCTGTAAACTCTGCGCTACTGACTTGGCCTGGCACGGGAGTACTACGTCTCTGCGTGAGCACCTTAAACCATCTCTCTGCAGTACTGACTGTTTGCAAAAGATGGCGCCACACTCACTGTTTTAGGCATTAAAGGGCCCATATCACGGTTTTTGACTTTTCTCTGCTTTAAACATGATTACAATGCTATTTGACCTTCATACACAAGCGCACAGTAGTTTATTCATTGATTCTGTCAATCTTTTGTAAGAGAACAATCTGTCTCCTTCCCCAGCGTGAGGCACAGAAACGCTCGGGTCTACTTCAGTGACGAAAACCACACTGATGACGCGCATGACCCCGTTTGCTTTGTATTTAAAATAGTTGTTAAATACTTTTGTCAAAACGGGGTAAACAATACACAATTAGTATGCTGTTTTTTGTCAAAAATAATAAAAATAAAAATAAATTAGAAGCCGACGGGAGGTGATTGACGGATCAAAACAGCGAATCAGAGCGCACAGGCTCCGGCTCCCGAGTCCAGCGTCTGTGGTCTGGTCTCGCGGACACCACATAGAGCTGCTGTTTTTATGCTTTTGTCAGCAACTAAAAGTGTTAGGATCACGTCAACTTGAATGAAGTGTGTTATGGGTGTAAATATGTGACACACTATTTGGCCCTAAGAGGAAGAAAGCGGCTCGACTTTTTTCATCTGTTCATCTCATGGATCTATTATAATACCGGTTCATCTGCGACACTTCACTGAGACTGTTCCAGAACCACAGGGACAATGGAACTGGACTTACTCAAAGGCTGATCTGGAAACACGTTATTCCCACGGTAAAAGACGTAACTCGGACCCCCTCGATCTGTAAGTAGTGACGCTAACTCGCTGTATACTTCTGTAAACTAAATAACCAGGGTCTGATTGTGCATCGAGGACATAGGGCTCGATGTGACGGATTGTCATTGTTGGAAAAAGTTTATTCTTATGTATGAAATTACTAAGTACAGGTGATAAACGACAAAAGCGTGATGCTACGTCACCGTGCGGGCGGGGGGAGGCGGGCTCACAGGCAGAGGAGCAGACTCTTCTCTGGATCAGCTCGTTTGAGTCGAGGTGACGTCACCTCTATACAAGAGATGGCTCTAATCTCACAAGCTTTGATTGTTGTGTGGTGTATCATACACATTAATACCACACATGTGTATAGGATTGAGTGTGAAACATGAAGAAAAGCGTGATATAGGACCTTTTAAGTTGATCTTTGAACTAATTTGCACAAAGATGTAAAAAAAAAAAAAAAAACATTTATCCAGTTTATCAACTTGAATAAGCCTTGTTCGGGATTTTAAACTACTTCAGAAGCCCTAAGGATTTTCATGGTGAAAACATTATTGGAAATCTCCTTGTGAAATTTGCTAGAGTAGGTCAGTGTTTTGTTTTGATGGTCGACATTGAGTTCAACAAAGGATTACAAAGACATAATAAACAGCTCCAGATATGTTTGTGTAAGCCCTCAGTCGTACAGGGATTAGTCAAAGCAAAGGAAGGTTTCTCACCCATCATCTGTACTTCTTAGCAAGTTTTCCCGACGTTTCGTCCTCAACCTGGGGACTTCTTCAGGGAATGAATTCTCGGACCGCGCGTTGGAGATTTATAACCTATGGGTGTGGTAAGCCACACCCTAATCCTGATACTAACTCGTAAACAATCTCAGGTCTGCTTGATGTAGAAGGGGAGCAGGTCTAACGACCCTGCTGAGGCTAACGACCCTAACTCCTTAGCATGTCACAGACCTATTGTCTGCTGGGATGCTCAAGTGGAGTGCAGGTTT